AGAAAGAAGATTGATGTTAGAGAAGAAGAGTCAATGAACTTGAACATTGTTCTTAAAAATGTACGCGAGACAGAAGGGGAAACTATAAGGAACAAAGTGAATGCTATTTTACAGGCGGGATTGAAGTTGAGAAATATAATGATTGACAGAGCTGTGAGAAAACTTTCTACAATCTGGCAGATAAGATTGACATTCTAAAATCAAAAGTCACACTCAAAGATTCGAAGACATATCCATCGCTTCTGATAAGTCAAAACAACATAGGCCATATGAAGCCAAGCTGAGGTCGATCGCCACGGCTCTGGGTGAGGAGAGGCTCGCTGTGAGGGGTGCACGTCTCGAGGTAAGAGGATCACGTGATGACCATATACACCCTGGAGACAGATACACAGCACAAAGGTGTGATGTGGGTTAGCGTCACACTGACAACCCCGACCGATACGACACATCACGTGTAGATGGTGACTGGCAGACCCAGGGAAAGTATGCCAAACATGACAGACATCGATGTGGCAGTGAGGAAAGAACCACAAGCAGCATCTGGAGAGGAACAGACACATCATCCCCGTGTACATTGGGTGGACCCGGGGATAGAAGATAGGCCATATGCAGGTTTTGGAATATAGCTGGATGGCCCCGTGATGCACAAAATAATACCTTTTACTTTCACGTGACCTTGATATAATTGGAATAGCTAAAACTCACTTGCGTAAGGATGAAGAACTTTTTTTTATGGTCATAAGTGGATTTGACACAATAGAGAGTTACTCCATAACCGTGCCAAGGATGGATCTGGTGGTGTAGGTTTTTTCATTAAACCTCATTCCCAGATAATGTTAATGATTTTAATGTTGCTGATATTTCAACTGAAGGCATATTATGGCTAGAACTAACTGACCTTTGTAAGTCAAAGTTTTATTTGACAGTGTGCTATCTCCCTCCTGAGAATTCAACGAGTTTCAATCATGTGGTACAATACTGTATGTGTGTGGAGACTTCAATAGCAGGGTCTCAGACCTGAATATTTTTATAGAAGGCGTGGACATGCTACCCGAAAGCAGGTCGTAGATTATGTGACTAACGCCAATGGGCGGAGATTTCCTGATAGATTCAAATTTCTGTTTACCGAATGGAAGAAATACAGCATCCAATTACTTTACCTACATATCAACGAGGGGAGCCTCTGTAGTTGACTATTGCATGATACCATATGCATCTCTGTGTGATTTTAGCTGTTTTCGGGTACTTAGACCTTCAGCGTTAATAAAGGGCGCTGGTGTTGAACAGGTAAATACAGACTAACATAGTAAGCTTGATGACTCGCTGTTACAGTGGTCAGTGTCTTGTGAGACTATTAATATTTGCTCACAGGTAGTAGATAACCAGTCAGACACGGTTTATGCTGCACGATATATTTTATCTGATACACCTTCTGACTTTTTAGCATCTGATAAATGTATAGCACACTTGAATGACATCATATGTCAGCTCGAGATGTCGACCCAGTCACATAATGACCTAGATCTAGGTGCGGAGACTCTCAAAGACTTAGTTCAGAGAGAGATGCATGAAAAGTTAAAACTACGTTCTCATGTTGTTTTTGGTGGTAAGAGCAATAAAAAGCGTCGTGTGAGAACTCCATGGTGGAATGATGATCTGCGTGTATTGTGGAATGACATTGCGAGGCTGAGAGAAAGTGGTGTAAATGTAAACGCCCTGGTAATGAGAGAATGTTTCTGAAACATAGCTTTGTTAGAAAGCGAATAGCACTAACAGAAGTGTCCTGTGGGAGAAATTATGTAACATTGGTGTGAAAGAGAAAATGTTTCTAGCACTTCAATCTCCATATGATAATGTGAAATGCATTGTACGTATAAATGATATGCTTACATCCTTGTTTAATGTTAATCGGGGTTTAAAACAAGGATGTTTAATCTCGCCAGTTCTGTTTAACTTTTTTTTATTATTGATATGCTTGACAAGCTCAATGAAACTCGTATTGGTATTTGTGTTGATGATATTACTATTGTAGTCTTAGCATATGCTGATGATCTCACTTTACTTGCAGAATCGATAGATGATTTGAATCGTTTATTACATGTTATGAATACTTGGTGTGTTGATAATAGTATCCTTATTAAAAATGTCCAAGATTGTACACTTTAGAAATGTAAGCGTCCCAAGAACAACAGCTTTTTCAGTATTGGCAACTCTGTTTTAGACATTGTTGATTGTTATAATTATCTAGGCCTACTGCTCACGGAACATGTTGACTGCAATGCTATGGCAAAAGCAGCAGCTAAATCGGCTAACAGAGCATTAGGTCTTCCTATATGTAATTATATAAGGCAATTGGAGGTATGCAATCCACTACTTATTCCAAATTGTATGATACGATTTTTTCGCCAGTCTTGAGTTGTGGGGCATCTATCTGGGGTCATGGTGACATTTCTTCTGTAAATGCCGTTCACCATCGTGATTTGAGAATTATCTTTGGTTTGGGTAAATACGCTCCAAATGTTGCTGTTAATGGAGATATGGGATGGATTCCTCCGATAGTTAGACAATGGATGTGTATTGTTAAACAATATTTTCGTTTTACTAAAACGTGTGAAAAAAATGGAATTTTCGTTTGAGGAATAAACTGTTATGCAAGCCTGGCGGAAGAACGGGTGGTAATAGATTACGGCTAGTGACTGGTAGTATATTTTATATACCCCTTTTACACTAAATTAATATATTTATGCTGTATATACTGTGATATATTTTAAATCTCTCGTAACCCTTAACGAGTGGCTCACTTTTATGTCCTGTTATATATATATCTATATAAATATGTTAGTGAGGTGAGACTCAAATAAACAATCTGTCTGTCTGTCTGTTTTACCTACTAATTGCCCCATGGCCAGAGGCTTTCATATGCTGATTGGCCAAGCTAACATCTATTGTTAAACTGCATGTTTTGATTACACTGCATACTCTATCAGCGCATGAACTGACAGAACTGCTCAGACCAGCAAAGGATGAAGATATAATCTTAAATCGGGTGAGTGAAATGGCTATAATCTCTATTTTGTGTTGTATTGAAATAATACAGTATGTTGACAGTATTATGATAAGTAATTTAAATTTATGTAATCTAATATAAATGTTGATTATGTCTAATTATTTAAATCTGCATAAGGTAAGCGAAACAACCATAATTCATCACTAAAAAATATCCTATCACTCTAATGAAACCGCCGTCATATAGCTGGAATATTGCTGATTGCGGCGTTAAGCAATAAACAGACAGAGAGTTGAAATATGTGTGAAATTGTTTTACTTCTAGAATGTTTTAAGAAAGCTTTGTAGTGTATAGATTTAGATGTGATACATTCGAATCATTGTGAATAAAATGTGTGTTTTATCTTGTTCAATATATTAAATGTTAAATAATGTTTTAGTCTGTGTCAGTATGTTAGACAGTATACTGTGTCTGAGTGGGGTATTCATGTTAAACTGCGGTATGGTATCTCAGTGAGCTAGCACTATAAATCGGCATTAGACTAGTACAAGCAGCCAAACACACGTACATGCACGTCGCTATATAAGTGCAATAATCTTGGACGCGACGATAAACCCAATTTCACCTCACCTCACATCTAAGACTTAAGATGTAATCTAAATGTTTTCACCACATTTAATGTCAATTCATAATATCATTAATTTCTGTCTTAAAGTAATGTATCTGTTTATACAGAATGTGTAAGCGATATGTATGTATATTGTGTATGTATTATACAGTCAAATGAAGTCTCCCTTCGTCATACCAAAAGACGTTTAAAGATGGTACTTGTTGAAACCCTGTCTGGCGCTCGGCATAAAGGGGCTAAAACGAGGACTGGTCGGCTCGGAGTCAGTATACTGTGTCTGAGCGGGGTATTCATGTTAAACTGCGGCATGGTATCTCAGTGAGCTAGCACTATAAATCGGCATTAGTCCGGTCTAGTACAAGCAGCCACACACACACACACACGTACATGCACGTCGCTATATAAGTGCAATAATCTTGGACGTGACGTTAAACCCCATTTCACCTCACCTCACTTTGAGGAACTATGCCCAGGACTTCAATTTACCAAACATCTAGATTGCAATTTCAAGGCAAATTAAGTCAAATAACGGAATATAAAAAATAATATCACTTTTCCAATAATTTTATTCGGAGGTCGGGTTTGATAAATTTTAAGCTCTTTATGGCGTACTGTTGTAATAATTTATAAATAGTGGATGCCATTACTAATGATGAAGGAATGAAATTCCACAGAATGGCAAACTTGTTGATGATGATTACGTTGATGGCCCTGTACTGCTCGACGGGACGAAGATGGGTGACGTCCAGGTGTCGTCCTATTCCAAAACTGCTAAGAGTCGGTTCTTTGAGTTAATACTTTCTGTTAAGGATAGCAAGTGCGTTATCTGACTTAACTGCGTAGTCAGACATAAAACACAACCTGAGAGATAAAAAAATAAATCAATAAATAAATGAAACTAAATACAACAGAAATATGCTGCACGGAAATATCACGCAGTCATTTCGTAATACACGAGAATATTGATTTATAAAATCATTTTGAAATAGTTTAGTTGGTGTTGCAATCCATTCGACCTTTGTTGTACAGATATCGGTGTATACCATCGCTGTGATAACACCACAGTGTTGTCAGATCCCTGAGCTATATCACCGAGAGCCCTATCGCCCGGTATACCGTAGTCCCTCTACTGAAGGCATGAACCTAGATTTAAACATGGTTTCAAATACATGACACTGCAATACTATCTTAAGGACAAACCGACTAATGCCAAATTTACCAAAAAAGCAAAACAATTCCACGTGAGCTCAAATAAAATCAATACAGCATGTTCGGTAAGCGCCCCTTTGGTATATTATAGAGTAAACGGGTATATTTTATTTAATAATTATCACATAGATGTTGAACGTTATGGAGGCATTACGGTAAATATGATGCTCATCACTTTTGTCTGTCGGGTCAGAGTTCATTGTGACGTCACGGTAGAATAACACGACAATGAAGGTAAATGTTTATATCTCCCGAATCTTTATTTGTTTTAATTGTATTTTATCCATCCCTCACCCATGACGTTTTATATTAAAGAGGGGATAGTGTGTATTGAAGGTAGAGAAATTGTGTGGTCATACGTTCACGTTAGAGCGATAAACAAACATCGACAAGAACGCTGCTGTGCATCGTGGTGTTTGTCGCCAGCATCGTCCTAGCAGTTTCAGATGGAGTGGGTGCGTTCGGCTTCACACCGAATTTAACAGCGGACAGTAAGAAAGGTTTTAACACATTGTTACCGTGAGAGAATTGAACTGTTTTCATTGACGCATCGGGGGCAGGGCTGGGGGCAGTCGTCTGAGGCGCCGCAATTCGCTGTGCAGAGTTGCGTCCCTTGGACTCATCAGCAACCCATGGTCGAGGGTTCGAATGAGAGCACCGAGTATGAGAGGAATCGGTCTATGGTCTTCTGTCCCATTATATCCGCTTAAGTATGGATATTTTGATTATGTTACTGAATCATCGACTTATGAACTTGAGAAATCACGTGCCTGATGTATTTCATAAATTTGATTAAGCGATCATTTTGTGTAAGTTCTCAATGAACAATAACATTCCGATGTATTTCACATTGCACGCAGTGTATGTTCAGCTCCTAATGTATACAGAATCTAATAATTAATAAGGAATTTGTTAAATGATATCATTACTGAAGAATGTATAATTATGAATAAATTCCTACAACAGTTTGCATATCTATAAGGTATAGCTATCACAATAAAAAACATATAGTTTTGTGTAAAGTGAGCGAGTGAGTGAGTGAGTTAGGTTCAACGCCGCTTTGAACAGTAACAGCCTGTCAGCTAGGAGGAAAGCCTGAAGTAATGCAGGTCTAAGTCGTTTACTACTATGGTGAAAACCACGAATATGGGTATGGTGCTGACAAACCTAGAAACATAATTGTGGCGAACCGGGATTCGAACCCACGATCGTAGGTTTCTTGCGTGTCCAAGGGACGCAACTCTGCACAGATAATTGCGGCGCCTAAGACGACTGGACCACCTGTTCTGTGTAATGCACGTGACACAATGTTAAAGGACTGAGCCTTAAAACCAATTAGACATGGAAGTGCTTTTGAAACGGAACGTTATCCTCTTGTTTGGACAATGCAGGACAGTCAACAGTACCAAGGAGGAATATTTTGTTCAGAATAACTGTCGAGACGAATGGAATAGGAATCACGCCACATTCAGTGCAGGTTATTTTGCGAACTCACGTTCATGAAATACAGAACGGTCGATCTGTCCCCGCCGTGATATTGCTCACACGGCGTAAAACCATACTCACTCATGAAATACATCACAATCTTTGCAGATTACGTCATTAATTCTACTGTTTGGATGTGTCGTCCACCATGTCAGCACGGCAACGACCGGCCCCTATTGTACAGCCGGATCACCACAGCCAAAACCAACCGGTACGTGTGCATCAATGGGTGAGTGAGTGAGTGAGTGATGTAGGAATCGGAAGTATTCTGCAGCGATTCTAGATTCGATTCAACTGTACCACGGCGACACGTGCGAATGAAGTCAGTATGTCAATCATTAATGAGACCGAAATTATGTAAGGTAGGCGTGTGGTGTTTTTTTGTTAGTTGTTGTTTTTTATTGTTTTTGTTTTTTGTTTTTTATTTTTATTTATTTAATTTATTTATTTATTTATTTTATTTTTTTAACACACACCTTAAACACAACACCCTACCTCCACACCACCATCTCTGATATCCCACTCCCTATACACACCCTAACTACATGTACACACTAACCACAATCCCCACCTCGCACCCTTTATAACACCAGAGGCCCAATTCCGTTTTTCATTTTCAGTAAAAAAAAATCAAACACATTGTCCCACAGAATTTAATTGTGTAATAAAACCTTCAACATACAAGGTTTAACAGAACCAAATTTCAGAACTCCAACATACATATTTTTCAAAAAGTTGCTTCTTGAACAATGAATCTCAAAGTGCCTTTAAAGCATTGAGAATGTATAATCAGATACATCACATCGGCAAACACATCCACATCTCGACATACACGGTTAACCACATTTCACTTCACCTCAGATCGACAGACACTCCCATCCCTACCCTACCACCCCCCTCTACATACGCACCACCCATCACAACCCTCCTCCTCCACAACCCAGCAACTACCCCCGTACCCTCACCACAGAGACAGAGAGAGAGAGAGAGAGGAAGAGAGAGAGAGAGAGAGAGAGAGAGAGAGAGAGAGAGAGAGAGAGAGAGAGAGAGAGAGCAATCGTTAAAATGTTAAATCGTACGTGCCTGAGTTAATCACACGGACAAAACACTCGTTACTTTAAATCTGATTATTTCACCACGGTACGGTAAAACGACCATAACGTCAACCCGAACTTGTTCAAAATAGACCCGCCCTTTCCGGATCTTCCCCGGAGCTTCCAGACCCGCCTGGAGGCGAACTTAGTCGACCGGGGTTTCACCATGGAGGTTGCTGAGTACGCCGACGATGACGGCAACCGAGCGGCGTTGACTGTGGTGAGAGGGGGAGACTTCACAGACGTGGTATTCGACTATCAGGCTGGACAGGTGTACACAGTGCACGGTAAGTGCTGTTATCAGTTTGCACTTGGCGCTGCTCAGTATCTATACAACCACCCTTAACGACCGTATGACTGCTAGAAATAAGTAGCGGTAGGCATGTTGTAAAGCCATTATCCTTTGCGGGTAATGTCTTTACTGTTCTGGGCATGACATACCCTTGAAACGATGTTGGAAACAAAACACTAAGTCTTCAAAATACCAATCAAAGTGAGTGAGTGAGTGAGTGAGTTGGGTTTAACGCCGCTTTTAACAGAACTCCAGTTATATCGCGGCGTGTCAGCTTAGCGTGGGAGGAAAGCCCGAAGTGATGCAGGTCTCAGACGTTTACCACTTCGGTGAAACCCACGAGCACGGGTATGGTGCTGACAAACCTAGAAACATAATCGGGGCGAACCGGGATTCGAATCCACCATCACCACGATCTTTGACAGGTACATGTATGTACGTACGGTGGCCCATAAGGGACATGGAGTCTGTTTTTCAATATTTTGATATTTCATATACTGTTATCGTAACCTTTTGCAAATTAACACAATTTGTCATACAAATATGTGAGAAATCATGTATAAAAACAACCGAAAACATGGAAAATGTATTTCTAGAAGCTATTGAATCGCTGAATTGTGAAGCGAAAATGTCCAAAACTAAAACTATTTCCACCGCGGTGGAAATAGTTTTTCTGTATTTTCATTTTCGTTTTTGACATTTTCGCTTTTGTTTTTGACATTTTCGTTTTTGTTTTTGACATTTTCATTTTAGTTTTTGACCTTTTCGTTTTTGTTTTTGACATTTTCATTTTAGTTTTTGACATTTTCGCTTCACTTTTTAGCGATTCACTATCTACTTTATATATAATTTATCACATATTTGTATGACAAATCGTGTTAATTTGCAAAAGGTTACGATAACAGAAAGTGAAAATTCAAAATATTGAAAAACAGACTCCATGTCCCTTATGGGCCCCCGTATGGTTGTGCTATTCATCATTTAAGATAGGTCATCGAAGGACCATTATTATAGAAATGTTACAGGAGTGTTAAATGGATGACCACGGATTGCGGTTCTGCACTCACTGCATGCTAAGTATACATGTATGTTGTCAGATTTCCAAGGTGAAACCCCAGCTGAACACCCTACGCTTTTTCATTAATCAACCTTACAACTGGAATGTATTTTAAATACAATAACCCTCAGCCTACCTTTACATATTTATAAGATTATGTTGCAGCTACCCTAACTATGCCATTGCAATAGGAGTGTGTGAGTGTTTCAACAGTATTTCAGTTAGATCTCGGTATGTCAGCTTAATGTGGGAGGAACGCCCGAAGTGATGCAGGTCTCAGATGCATGGGTATGGCTGACAAACCTAGAAACATAATCGGAACAAACCGGGATTCGAACCCACACTCATATGTTTATGGATAAAATCGACGCCTTTGACGACTTGGTCACCCATGCCCCCGAGAAAAAGGAAGACGCACATATGTAGAGGCGTCATCAACTAATTTGTATGCAGGGCGACATGATGATGGCCCTAATCAGTCACCATAGATTTGGATTTGATGACGTTGAAAATTAATCATCTTTTACTATTTTGTAAAGCATACTCTTGGAAAGACTGGTTATCTGGACGATCATTATTATGACAATCCATATTACATAAATAAATAGTTTTATGTTCCGACACATAAATATTCTACTGGTTCATTTTGCAACCTTCTACTTGCAAGCTTGTTTCGTTGTTTCTTATCTTGTAATATTATCATAACACACCCTAAAACTTAAAGTTGCAAGTTTTATCCGCCATTCGGTACATGTGTATCTGCGGAAGATCACAGTTTAGTCATGTAATATGCCAGCATCACAACATAATAAGAGTGAGTGAGTATGATTTTACGCCGCTTTTTAGCAATATTCCAGCAATATCACGGCGGGGGACACCAGAAATGGGCTTCACACATTGTACCCATGTCGGGAATCGAACCCGGGTCTTCGGCGTGACGAGCGAAAGCTTTAACCACTAGGCTACCCGATCGCCCCCAACATAATAAGAACATGACAGTGCCACAAATTGGTACGAGAGAGCGGCATCTAAACAGTGGCTTCCAGCACGTTCTGGTGTCATGGCATAACCAATTTGAATATTTGTTCAGAAAGTTATATTTAATGAGATTGATGTTTGTAGCAATACATTGTCGGACTGTATATCACGATGTACCCTGCCGGACAAAAACAAATATACTCTCATGATTGATGGCTAAAAATATAATAAACAAGAAATGGAATTCGATGGTGATGTATTTAATACGGGCATTGTTGTGTTTTGGACCTTAAGGAGGCAGTGTTTCGGCGACTGTTTTCAGCCCAGTAGCAAATGTAATTTCTTTGTCAAATCCAATTTTCGAATGAACGCTTTTTTGGGCCCAACAGTATAGTGTTGCCTTGTTATGTTGATGAGGTGGTGGTCATATACAATAGGCTGATGTATACAAATGAATTCTGATGGAATCTTAGTTTATTCTTACTTCTTTAAGACGGTGTCTGTGTGACCAAGACGATGTCCAACGACACTGTGGACGACTACTTATTTGGCGACATCGGCATTAACGGCACCGGTCACATCTTCTCAACAAATGACATTATTAAGTTTGCAAAGCATTATGGTGAAGTGAGTATATTGGTTTTATGTGTATTCATACGACGAAACCAGCTCAGATCCCTTTATCCTGTGGGGAATCCAGTTTAGAATAGGTCCCCAGTTACCCATGCTTGTAAGAGACGAGTAAACGTATTCTTCTTCTTATTATTATCTGTATTAAATGATCGAGTATGTTTTCACACCGCTTTTAGCAATATTCTAGCAATATGACAGCGGGGTACATCAGAAATGGGTTTCACACATTTTACCTTTATAGGGAATCGAACCCGGGTCTTCGGCCTGGCGAGCTAACACTTTCACCACTAGACTACCCCACCACCCACATCTGTATTATATTTATTATTGATATTTTAATGATGCTTGGAGTTATTTTGGTTTCTTCAATGAGACTGAATGGGGGTTATCTTCTCTTCCTTTTTCTCCGAGGCTAACCTTAGACCCGTAAATCATCCGGGTTAGAATAGGTCTTCAGCAACACACGATAAGAGCCGACTGTGCTCGTCGTCCGCGGCGACTAACGGGATCGGGTGGTCAGGCTCGCTGTTGTTGTTGATGCATGTCATCGTATCCTAATTGCATGGATCTATGCTCACAATATCAATCACTGGATTGTCTTGTTCAGACTCGATTATTTACAGACCGCCTCAAATAGCTGGAATATTACTGAGTACGGCGTTAAATAACAAACAAACAAACAAATCTTTAACTTTACTGATTTTGTTAACACGATTTTGTGTTTTGTCTTGTTTTGGGACGGAGTGGGTTCTAGACATGTATGGAAAAACGTTCAAAGATGGTGTGTTCATTACTTTCCCAGACCTATCTGGGTCAATCTGAAGTTCGTGGTATTAACTGTGACCGATGGCGGACTTGCATGTACTGGGATTATTTCAAGGCCAACTTCACACTCGACTACTATTTTTCAGGTAGGTAAACACCAAGAGCAATGTTTGACATATAATGACCATAATTACGGATCAACAGGCATAAGGACGATATGATACGCAACCTGCAAAAACCAGTGTTTCAAATAAATTAATTGATGTTAAACTTTTGTATTTTGCTAAGCTCTCATCTATCATTTTCAGTACTTATTTGTCTTTAAAAAATTCTGAGAAACAAAGCCAGCATTACAGTGAAGGTAATGTTTTCTTCGCGTGTGAACTGAGGAGAAAAAACTTTACGCTCCCAACTTCTAAATGCCTCTCAAAAAAGCTATTCATCCATATATCTTATCCTTACTTATACCTCTCTGTTGATTTACGTCTAAAAATATTTTAGTTCGCGATATTGTATCCGAAAATAACATCACTTTGTCTGCATTCAAACAATATTTCAACATGGTTTTATGTTATTATATATAATTTATTTTGATTTAAAACTGTTTAAAATTTATAAATATTCGCACGGTACGTAACAGCCAATGGGGATCTCAGACATCTTATCATTAAAAATCAATAAATTTCAAACAGGGTAGGGGTCACGTGGATGCAAATTCATTTCTTACTCCAGTCTTCATTTAACCAATCTATTTTCACACAAAGTAACCCAGCCACAGATTACTTTTACAAACTGTTGCAGGAATGAGTGATGGTTAAATAGACATGATCAAATTAACAACAGTTCTTTCACTTTTCAATTACTTTAAAAACAAATTCGCTGTACTTTCTTTTGCCTCTCAGTTAATAAACTGACACACATATATGTTATTTCTCCTGTGTGAGCAGCTCTGAACTGGACAACTTCGATGACATATCCACAAGTCCCTGTTAGAGCAGACGTCACAGGAATTATGCAAACAGCCTCCGGTCAGAGGGACTTTCATCACATGTACGATTATTATGACTTCCGGCCCGGAATAGAGCCAGGTCTCACTGTCTTTGAGGTATAACGGTTTCATTATATCGCTTTTGATGGAAAAAATAAAGAATATAATTGCATTTGTATCAACTCTTTTAATGTCTCATTTGTACCTAATATACCGTGAATGTGTTTTGTCTGCTAAATGTCTGAAATTATGCTTTCTTATCCAGACACCGCCAGATGTAGTGTGCCCGCAACGGAAGAGCGTCAAACTGATTCCGAAGGTGGCCAATCAGTTTTACTTCCGGATGGAAGACACGAACGTACCGTCTGCGCACACTTTCAACTTACAGGTGAGACTTGACATGGTTCACAACAGTTCTTCATACCCACTATCATCTCAAAGATTAGGCAATGCATGTGTATGAATCGTGCTGAGGAACTACATCCAACTTAAGTCACAACGAGGTTGTATATCGTCCTTGACACGTCATCAAGCTGTGTCAAGGTCAGCGTTGGGATCATGTAGAGTTGAGTTGGGTTCAAGGCCGCTTTGTGCCGTTACCACAGCGTGTTTATTGATGTGGGAGGAAGGCTGTACGTGATGCTGATCTGTGATGTTTACCAGGATGATTATCAGGGTGAATCTGGGATTATACTCAACGATAATAGGATCCTGATAAGCAAGAGGGACGCAACTTGATCTGTGGAGTTGACGAAAGTCGGATGTATCTTTGTAATTGTGTGTGGGCTATCATGTCTTACTAGATGATTTGTAAATACAGTCGATTTTAAGTTACTGTAGAATTAAATGAGTGAAAGAGTTGGGTTTAACGCCGCTTTGAACAGTATTCCAGGCTTATAACGGGGTGTCAGCTTGATGTTGGAGTAAAGTGATGCAGGTCCCCAGACGTTTACCACTTTGTGGATAAATATTTTCCGTGTCTTAAAAGTCAATTTCTACAGACATTCTGTTTGTTGTGCTGCAAAACTAATCAACAAACTCCTGAAATCTTGTTCTGGCATTAATGGCTGATTCCTGGGAACAAATTAATGTTTAAATGGATGAATTGTTGACCAATTGATCAATGTTGCGCTAAGATCATACATCATGGATGTGACTTTATTAGTCCGGATTACTTGTATTCAACATAACTTTCTTGAGAATGTCACCACCACACCAGATAGACTGTACAATAACAGATTACCTGTCTCCTACCTGCACAATGTACGACTTTCTGTCTAGGCGTGGTACGACAATGAGTACAAAGTGATACGGGTGGATTATCCCGACCAGGGGCGACCCGCAATCCACATTGATGACTTCAATAGGGGTAAGTGCTGACACCTTTTCCCGTTGTGTCTGATGTGTGGTAACGCGACGCAAGGATATCATATATAGACTTGGAAGAAAGTTCCTTCTGAATTAAGCGCGCCATCTGCAACGTGTATGTAGCTCCCAATGCAGCAAGGTCACTCCCTCTCCAGCCCAAATAAGAGATCTGCGAGGGTTTCTTGCTTCAGAACTTATTCTGAGGCTTTGAAATGCCAACACGCTTATGTCAAGAAATATTTTTAATGTGAAATTTACACGGTAGGCGACTTTCCATGATGCGAGTCACATGACCTCGAAAATGACGTTCATAAGCGTGTGAATGACACATTTTGACGTTTATACGTTGTTCAAGAGACGTTCTTAAAATGACGTATACATGAAAGGACTATCTTGGACCTTTAGAAAACTTCGGAAAAGTCAGCTTCGACGGTCACATAATTTGGCTATCATTCGATGCCTGGCTCAGGGGCTGTGGGGTAGCCTACTGGGTAAAACGTTAGCTCGTCACGGGTTTGATTCTCCACAATGGTACAATGTGTGAAGCCCATTTTCCGGTGTACCGCCGCACTCACTCAATCACTCACTCACTCACTCACCATGAATATATTCATATCATATTCATAAATATCTGGAAATATTGATCGGAACACATAGTCACAGCAGAATTAAACTGTACATGACCACTATGAGTCACGTATTAAAATGAAAGTTTTTCATTTATACCTCATGTATTTAATGTATTAAAATAATAGTTTTTTGTTTATACCTCATGTAATCATAGTTTCTAAGTTATATTTTCCAGGTGCCATATAAGCAGTGTTAAATAATAGGCTTAAAGTTTAAACTGCGAAATACCCTTATTTTGCGAAAATCTGGTGTTGCAACTGATTTTCAGCGATCGATTCATTTAATACGTTGATATAATATTATTTTAAGCTGAGATATTACTCACCTGTGTTATTCTATAACAGAAACTTGATCATTATACTGATAAATGTGACCTAGTTTTGTGTTTCAGTTATATCACGGCGTGTCAGATTAATTGGTCTTGGAGGAAAGCCCGAAGTAATGCAGGTCTTAGGCACTAATCTCGAAATGAAAATGACCGTTGATAATAAGTTTTTCCCCACCAGAATGCTCCTTTAAAATTTAGATCAAGTTGGTCTGAATACGTGTGTATGAATGTCAATTCGAATCTGAGATTCAAACTACGATCATAGGTTTCTGGCACTCCTAAGGGAGGCAACTCTGCACAACATAAAACATACGGATGAAAGAGTGAAGTAGGTTATAACTGTGACAACATCCTGCATCCAAAATATTCATGTACAACAACATCCGGTCACAGGTACTCGCTACACCATTGACAAGGAGTATGGCAACTGCAGCATGACACCACTCCCAGACACAGTGATGGATACCAAGAGAGTGGGGAAGGGCAACCATTGGTTTCTGGAACTTCTCGATCCACTGGAGTTCCTCCGACTCCAAGCCGATTTTGTTTATGTGGGACAGGTAATTATGTTTATTTGGGACGGGCAATAGTGTTTATGTGGGACACGTAGTTGCGTTTAAATGGGACATGTAATTATGACTGTATCGGACAGGTAATTATGTTTATGTGGGACAGGTAGTTGTGTTTAAATGGGACATGTAATTATGACTGTATCGGACAGGTAAATATATTTATGTGGGACAGGTAGTTGTGTTTAAATGGGACAGGTAATTATGACTATATCGGACAGGTAATTATGTTTATGTGGGACAGCTAGTTGTGTTTAAATGGGACGGATAATTATGAATATATCGGACAGGTAATTATGTTTATGTTGGACAGGTAATTATGTTCATGTGGGACAGATAATTATGTTTATGTGGGACAGGTAATTATGTGTATGTGTGAGAGGTAATATTGTTTCCACTAGCATTTGCAAAACTCTGTCTTGGATGAAATTCAGATATATATTCGACGTCCGAACAAGGGGAAAGTCTTTAAACGTGGATTGTTTAAATGTGAGGCTTGTTAGATTGGGGAATGAGCTTATATAGGTCTGTTCACCCCTTGTCCTGTATGTTGATTTGTCTAAACACTCTCACGTACATGTTGTTGGAAGTTTATTGGGGGTTTTATGTTACGAATGTTCAATATACCGATACAGTTAATAAAAGAATTAACTGCGCATCGTACATTGCCTATAATCCGTATGTACAATTGTAAAGAAAGGACTTAATTTAGTAAGTGATCATGAGTGAGTGAGTGAGTGTAACGCCGCTTTTAACAGTATAACAGTTATATCACGGCGCGTCAGCTTAATGTGGGAGGAAAGCCCGTAGAGATGCAGGTCTCAGACGTTTACCACTTCGGTGAAACCCACGAGCACGGGTATGGTGCTGACAAACCAAGAAACATAATCGGGGCGAACCGGGATTCGAACCCACAATCATAGGTTTCTGGCGTACCCAAGGGACGCAACTCTGCGCAGCGAATCGCGGCGCCTTAGACGACTGGGTCACCCGTGCCCCCAAGTGATCATGACGTTACTTTTGTTACTAAAGATGCTTTAATATGAACACTATAGAATATAAAGGAATGTTACTCAGGAAACACGTTACTGGGTTGTTTACAGTGACTCTTTTTGATATCATATACTGATTCTCTGAATTATTTTTTTGTTTATGATTCGGTGCATTACATTATTCATATTTCTTTCATTTTTGCCAGCGAACTGTACGTGGATTGATCTGTGACCTGTTCGTTGCCAAGGTAACCGGCAAGAGTGCCGTCATCTACACCAACACAGCGGCCGACAATGTCACAGTAGAAGCCTATTTCTCCAGGGTAGGGATGAGCAGACTTTGTCCAAATATGGAGACAGAATCCATATGATTGTGTGGTGAAAAATCTGCAAAATACAATGACTTCATGGATTCGGTGACTTGGTTGATTGCATGTCACCGTATCCCGATGGCGTGGCATGTTGCTCATAATATCAACCACTCGTTTGTCTAGTCCAAACTTGATTATGTACAGGGCGTCGTCATACAGCTGGAATATTACTGGATGCAGTGTAACAACAAACAAACAAACAAACAAACAAAGATCCAATGGCTGCCGGGGTTGATCCTTGAGTATCTCACTTATCCGAAGACCCGTGAAGATCTGGGTTAGAATCGGTCTTAAGCAGCCCATACGACTATACTTGTCGTAAGAGGCGACTAACGGGATCGGGTGGTCAGGTTCGCAGTCTTGGTTGATGCATGTCATCGTATCCCAATTGCGTGGATCGATGCTCATGATATTAATCACTGCATTGTCTGGTCCAGACTCGATTATTTACAGACCGCCGTCATACAGCTGGGATATTGCTCACTGCGGCCTTAAATAATAAACAAAACAAACACATCTCCTAATATCCACCCTATGAAATAAAGCGAGTTTGTAAATTAAACAGAAAATTCATTTTGTATACGGGGTGATATGTATTTAGGTGGATAAATATTCAGATGCCATAACGTTGTTTTTTTAAATGTCTTGGTCGGGACTTAATTTGACCGTCGGGAAATGAGAAATGTCCATTTATGTGAAAATATAAAAGCGGTCCATGACTAAAAATCAGACACAGCATCTGTGACAGAGTAACGTCTCCAATGTGTAAAGCTGCACACGAGTTGCTATGGCAAACGAGATCAGTTAGAATTTTCATCCAACGTTTCTTTTTTGTTTGTTTGTTGTTTAACGCCTCACTCAGCAGTATTCCAGCTATATGGCGGCGGCAATTAAATGATTGAGTCTGGACCAGACAATCCAGTGATTGACATCATGAGCATCGACCCACGCAATTAGGATACGATGGCATGTATCAACCAAGTCAGCAAGCCTGACCATCCGATCCCGTTTGTCGCCTCTTACGACATGCATAGTCGCTTTTTAAGACACATCTTGTGTAGTGTAATTGTTTTTGTGTATAAAGTTTGCGTAAAGTTTGAATTGTAAATTAAATATATTTTGCGAAGTTGCGACGACATTACGAAAGTTATTATGGATTTTGACCGGTTTTGTGTTCCATAGAAATATCTTTTTTTCGCTTAGCAAATAGCCCAGCTAACCACAGCAACCACGAGTGAGGTCCCCACCCGGGACTATGTACTTGTGATATCCTTGATCCTGATAACGAGCATCAATAACCCCATGTACACAGGTGACCTCGGAAGCTGATAACGCCAATCCCTGCTTTTAAATGTTCGTAGCACGCTTTTCAGGACAGCCAGCTTGTCCAGCGAACACGTTTTGGTCAATTTGAGGACAAATTTTAAAAAACATCCACTCAAAAAAATATTAAATGGTCGGGCTCTTATGCCTTATCTGCTGCAGCAGTCAGACATCTGATGGAATGAAAGCAGCTGGCGAGAGTATAGAAGTATGAAATCTTAGAAGGGACATTGTCGCGCTGTTGCGCTTGGGGGTAATTTTAACTGTTTTAAAGCGAAATAGCGACAATGTCCAGCCTATGTTTTATGGTGTTAATACTTTTACACACAAGCACACAAGCACGCACGCACGCAGGCATGTGTTTTGTTTGGGCCTCATCACAGCTCCTATTATAAAATCGTCTGTCAATTCGCGGAACCCGGTTTGCGAAGTGAATCAGTCGCGTGTGAGCTTTGGGTTTGTTTGTTTCAGAGTTCCAACGAGAGTACTGACACAGGTGTTCCCGGTGACAAGGGGGTCTACACGCATGTCCTCGTACAAATTGTCACCTATATAAACCAGGTCAGATTGTTACTGAATGAATGAGTGAATGGTACGGTACGCCACAGCAGCGTTACAGCAATGTATTTCAGCATCATCGCAGAATTGGCTCGTCGCCAGTCAAACCAGTAGTTGTTGTTTGTTGTTGTTTAACGCCGCAATCAGCAATATTCCAGCTATATGACGGAGGTCTGTAGACAATCCAGTGATTGACATTTTGAGCATCGATCCACGCAATTGGGATACGATGACATGCATCAACCAAGTCAGCGAGCCTGACCACTCGATCCCGTTAGTCGCCTCTAACGACAAGCATTGGATGCTGAGGTCCTATTGTAACCCGGATCTTCACGGATTGATGGATATGCAACGATCATCTCCGCTTGGGAGTGATGATACAGCTGAAACGTTGTGACCATGCGAATCCCACACCCAAACAGTCAACAGTCAGAAAACACAATGTCGCCTTCACTATATAGCTGGGATTGTGCCGACACGGGATCACGTGTCAAGTAACGCCACATACAACACGTGTCAACTAACGCCACATACGTCACGTGTAAACTAACGTTACATACATCACGTGATAACTAACACGATATACATCACGTGTACACTAACGCCACATACATCACGTGTAAACTAACACGATATACATCACGTGTAAACTAACGTTACATACATCACGTGTCAACTAACGCCACATACGTCACGTGTAAACTAACATTACATACATCACGTGTCAACTAACGTCACATAAAACACGTGTAAACTAACACGATATACATCACGTGTTAACTAAAGTTACATGCATCACGTGCCAACTAACACGATATACATCACGTGTCAACTAACGCCACATACGTCACGTGTAAACTAACGTTACATACATCACGTGTCAACTAACACGATATACATCACGTGTAAACTAACGCCACATACGTCACGTGTAAACTTACACGATATACATCACGTGTACACTAACGCCACATACATCCTGTGTCAACTAACACGATATACATCACGTGTATACTAACGCCACATACAACACGTGTAAACTAACACGATATACATCACGTGTACACTAACGCCACATACATCCTGTGTCAACTAACACGATATACATCACGTGTACACTAACGCCACATACAACACGTGTAAACTAACACGATATACATCACGTGTACACTAACGCCACATACATCCTGTGTCAACTAACACGATATACATCACGTGTACACTAACGCCACATACAACACGTGTAAACTAACACGATATACATCACGTGTACACTAACGCCACATACATCCTGTGTCAACTAACACGATATACATCACGTGTACACTGACGCCACATACAACACGTGTAAACTAACACGATATACATCACGTGTACACTAACGCCACATACAACACGTGTAAACTAACACGATATACATCACGTGTAAACTAACGTTACATACATCACGTGTAAACTAACACGATATACATCACGTGTAAACTAACGTTACATGCATCATGTGTCAACTAACGTCACATACATGTACATCACGTGTAAACTAACGCCACATATATCACGTGTAAACTAACACGATATACATCACGTGTACACTAACGCCACATACATCATGTGTCAACTAACGTCACATACATGTACATCACGTGTTAACTAAAGTTACATACATCACGTGTACACTAACGCCACATACAACACGTGTAAACTAACACGATATACATCACGTGTAAACTAACGTTACATGCATCATGTGTCAACTTACGTCACATACGTCACGTGTAAACTAACACGATATACATCACGTGCCAACTAACGTCACATACATCACGACTAAACTAACGTCACATAAAACACGTGTAAATTATCGCCTCATACACCATGTTTAAATTGACGTCATTTACAACATCACGTGTAAAATGACGTCATATACAACATCACGTGTAAATTGACGTATACAACATCACGCGTAAACTGACATATACAACATCACGTGTAAACTGACGTCATATACAACATCACGTGTAAACTGACGTCATATACAACATCACGTGTAAACTGACGTAACCTCCTCCATCACGTGTCAACTAAAGCCACATACATCACGTTTAAACTGACGTCAAATGCAACTCCACGTGTAAACTGACGTTACATACAACACCACGTGTAAATAACGTCATTATGTTTTGTCCTCAGACTCAACTACAGACCATCATGAACTTCTATGACTTTGACTTCAGTCATCCCGACCCCGTGAAAACGTTTGATCTGACGCCATGTTTCTCTGACAGACAACAGATTGGATTCAACGTCAGATTTCCAGGTGAGAGATACGGGTCCCTCCCAAGTGCATTGTAAAGGAATGTTGTTTGACGCCGTAATACAACAACATTATTCGATCTTACGCTGCCTGTGTAATCACTACAAACAAGGTAGACAAGTGTATTATAGTACAACAGTCGATCCACGACGTCGGGCACGATGATACAATCAGCAACGTCACACATAGTGAGTACCCATCCCAATGACTCGACTCTTGCTCGAAATCAGCCCCTGATGGAGATTTCCTCATGTAACGGATAGAAGTCTGACGTAGCCAGATCAGAAGAATAAGATTGTTGCTGGATTATAGCCATGGCAATGACTAATTTGTGCACTTGCACTTTGTCCTAATGGAAGAGTGCGCCTTTTCCAAGCTTCCTAGTCTCAGTCATAATTTCATCTCGTAACTGCCTCAAAAGTGGAAAATAATATGCTCCGTTTATGGTCTGGCTTTTGGAAGAAAGTCCTTCATGACGACATCCTCGGCATCCCGGAATACGGAAGCCATAACGTTTCCAGCTGATGGTACAATTTTTGCCTTCGTTGCTAAAACCTTTCTGGACCAGCTCCAAACAGAGCTAGATTGTTTCGAGACAGGTTGTACCTGGCGCGTTTTTTATCAGATGTGTGAAGATTTGGAATCCAAAGGGCTGATACTTTCCTCATTATCAAAGTCTATGTCATAATGTAATGTGAAAATGTGAAAATGCCTAATGAACGAGGGGGCGGGCGGGTAGAGAGCGTTCGCTCATCACGCCGAAGACCCGGGTTCGATTCCTGACATTGTTACAATGTGTGAAGCCCATTTCTGGTGTCCCCTGCCGTGATATGGCGGGAATATTGCTAAAAGTGGCGTAAAACCATACTCACTCACTCACCCTTAATGAACGAGCAATACGACGCTCGGCGATTCACCTGTCTGTCATCACCATTTAACTTCTTTGAGAGGCATTTAGAAGTTGTAGTACTAAGTAAGGATAAGATATATGGATGAACAACTTCTTTATTACAGTTATGAGCTACGTTTCGGTGTAGGTTCTAACACGTGCTTGATAATGTACAAGTGAATAAAGACGTTTTTCATCCATATATCTTATCCTTACTTGGTCATCACCACTTGGATTCTCTTCATTGTTTCTCGGGTTGCTGACAGACATCCCAGGATGGGGTCGTCTTCACGACTCTCTCCGACACGTTAACGTGAGATTAACCGTTCTTAAGACTGCCTGACAGCTGATGAAATACACTTTTGTGGTCTCATCGGGAACTTTAACAGGGTTTTGTTGTAGCACAAGATATAAGTATTGACAGGCAATATGTCGGGCAGCGAGTGACTGATTTATTCACTTCCTGTCCTGAAGCTCCTGATGCCCCGGATCTCCTTCCGTACGATGTCCAGATCCAGACCGAGGCCTTGAAGGAGATCTCTGTGGGTCTTCAGCTGGAGCCAACGCGCCTGCAACATCTCCGGGTGTACGCTGACGACAGCCACGTCTACGTTTCGGGGAAACTGCTGGACCGGCCACCTCTGCTGGGTTTGTTACTTAATCACATCTGAAACGTCATCCTTTTGTGTAAACAGCCCATTATGTTTCAATAGTTGACAGGGATGCTTTCACTGTGTATGGACAAATGCAAGGTCCATTCTCGTGTTCACTCGATCTCAAACTTTGACACCGCGAAACACCGCTAGATCGCGACATTGCATTTTTTCCCATTTTGGACATGTATTCAGAAGGTCAAGACTGCTATGGGTGATGCACACAGGTGTACACAACCTACACGTATGTTAATTACTGGGTGAATTTGGTTAAACGCCGCTTAGTACAGTAGTCCAGTTTCATCACGGCGTGTCAGCTTCGTGTGGGATGAAAGCCCGAAGTGATGCAGGTCTCAGACTTTTACTATTTTGGTAAAACCCACGAGCAGGGGGCTGGTGCTGACAAACCAAGCAACACGATCGGGGCGAACTGGGATTCGAACCCACGATCATACGTTTACGGCTTTCCCAAAGGACACAAATCTGCACAGCATAATGTGGCGCCTTAAACGACTGGACCATCCTTAGCGTAAATTAATTCAGAAGATAATAGGTACCGTGACGAAGGTCACAGACGTTTTCAGCTTCGGTATATCCATTCACGAGAACCTGTATGCTTGTGACAGGCCGCAAGCAACATGCTGATATTGGCCCTGCCAAGGTGCGAATTGCGCCACATTTGGTCATTGACAACCTGCTTCTGTTGATGTCAGCGATGGTTCTGGTGTGTTCTGGTTGTGTAGATGATAATTTTCATTCCGACATTTTTTGTTGTTGCATGTCGGCGAATTTACTCATTTACCGCCATATACCGTGTTCTGCAGCCCGGTACAATGTGATTCGGAACCAGACGATAGAGATGGTTGACTCTCAACACGACAACGTCACGTCGGTCGAGGAATGTGCCGCGCTATGTGACGTCAGCCACGACTGCGTCACCTTCGGCATCTGCAAAAGCACCTGCTATCTCTCCCACGTCGTGCAGCAGTACTCCATGGACAAAACCCTAACAGCACAGTGTGACAGATATTCAGGTGAGTGGGCATCACAGCTGTAATATAAACAAACATACCAATGAGTGAGTGAGTTTAAACGTCCATTTGAACATTTATATCAGTGTGTATCAGCTTAATGTGGGAGGAAAGCCTGAAGTGATGCAGGTCTCAGACTTTACCATTTATAACACACACGAACACGACTATGGTGCTGACAAACCTAGAAACATAATCGGGTCAAACCGGGATTCGAACACGCAAGCATTGGTTTCTGGAGTGTCAAAGGGACGCAACACTGCACAGAGAATTGCAGCGCCTTAAACGAATGGGCAGACCGTGCCACCCGTATCCACCAGTGTGCACTTAGTACTTAATTTGAAATAAAGTAATATTAAGTATTATATTCATAGATCGAGGCGATACAAGGCACTGATTACAGTGTGTACTTATGTAGAGATATGCATGTACGTGTGTTTTTAGTGTGTGTGTGTGTGTGTGTGTGTGTGTGTGTGTTTGTGTGTGTGTGTGTGTGTGTGTGTGTGTCGCAGTTTAACATGAATACCACACTCAGACACAGTACATCATCACAATGTGAGGGCATGCACCATCATCACAGTGTAAGGACGTGTACCATCATCACAGTGTCAGTACATGCACCATCATCACAGTGTCAGTACATGCACCATTATCACAGTGTAAGGACGTGCACCATCATCACAGTGTAAGGACGTGCACCATCATCACAGTGTAAGGACGTGCACCATCATCACAGTGTAAGGACGTGCACCATCATCACAGTGTCAGTACATGCACCGTTATCACAGTGTAAGGACGTGTACCATCATCAGGATGTAAGGACATGCACCATCATCACAGTGTAAGGACGTGTACCATCATCACAGTGTCAGTACATGCACCATCATCACAGTGTAAGGACATGTACCATCATCAGGATGTAAGGACATGCACCATCATCACAGTGTAAGGACGTGTACCATCATCACAGTGTCAGTACATGCACCATCATCACAGTGTAAGGACATGCACCATCATCACAGTGTAAGGACGTGTACCATCATCACAGTGTCAGTACATGTACCATCATCAGGATGTAAGGATGTGCACCATCATCACAGTGTAAGGACATGTACCATCATCACAGTGTCAGTACATGCACCATCATCACAATGTAAGGACATGCACCATCATCACAGTGTAAGGACATGCACCATCATCACAGTGTAAGGACGTGTACCATCATCAGGATGTAAGGACATGCACCATCATCACAGTGTAAGGAAGTGTACCATCATCAGGATATAAGGACATGCACAATCATCCCAATGTAAGGACATGCACCATCATCAGGATGTCAGTACATGCACCATTATCACAGTGTAAGGACATGCACCATCATCAGGATGTAAGGACATGCACCATCATCACAGTGTAAGGACGTGTACCATCATCAGGATGTAAGGACATGCACCATCATCACAGTGTAAGGACGTGTACCATCATCAGGATGTAAGGACATGCACCATCATCACAGTGTAAGGACATGCACCATCATCAGGATGTAAGGACGTGTACCATCATCACAGTGTAAGGACGTGTACCATCATCAGGATGTAAGGACATGCACCATCATCACAGTGTAAGGACATGCACCATCATCAGGATGTAAGGACATGCACCATCATCACAGTGTAAGGACGTGTACCGTCATCAGGATGTAAGGACATGCACCATCATCACAGTGTAAGGACATGCACCATCATCAGGATGTAAGGACATGCACCATCATCACAGTGTAAGGACATGTACCATCATCAGGATGTAAGGACATGCACCATCATCACAGTGTAAGGACATGCACCATCATCAGGATGTAAGGACGTGTACCATCATCACAGTGTAAGGACGTGTACAATCATCAGGATGTAAAGACATGCACCATCATCACAGTGTAAGGACATGCACCATCATCAGGATGTAAGGACATGCACCATCATCACAGTGTAAGGACGTGTACCATCATCAGGATGTAAGGACATGCACCATCATCACAGTGTAAGGACATGCACCATCATCAGGATGTAAGGACGTGTACCATCATCACAGTGTCAGTACATGCACCATCATCACAGTGTAAGGACATGCACCATCATCACAGTGTAAGGACGTGCACCATTATCAGGATGTAAGGACATGCACCATCATTACAGTGTAAGGACATGTACCATCATCAGGATGTAAGGATGTGCACCATCATCACAGTGTAAGGACATGTACCATCATCACAGTGTCAGTACATGCACCATCATCACAATGTAAGGACATGCACCATCATCACAGTGTAAGGACATGCACCATCATCACAGTGTAAGGACGTGTACCATCATCAGGATGTAAGGACATGCACCATCATCACAGTGTAAGGAAGTGTACCATCATCAGGATATAAGGACATGCACAATCATCACAGTGTAAGGACATGCACCATCATCAGGATGTCAGTACATGCACCATTATCACAGTGTAAGGACATGCACCATCATCAGGATGTAAGGACATGCACCATCATCACAGTGTAAGGACGTGTACCATCATCAGGATGTAAGGACATGCACCATCATCACAGTGTAAGGACGTGTACCATCATCAGGATGTAAGGACATGCACCATCATCACAGTGTAAGGACATGCACCATCATCAGGATGTAAGGACGTGTACCATCATCACAGTGTAAGGACGTGTACCATCATCAGGATGTAAGGACATGCACCATCATCACAGTGTAAGGACATGCACCATCATCAGGATGTAAGGACATGCACCATCATCACAGTGTAAGGACGTGTACCGTCATCAGGATGTAAGGACATGCACCATCATCACAGTGTAAGGACATGCACCATCATCAGGATGTAAGGACATGCACCATCATCACAGTGTAAGGACATGTACCATCATCAGGATGTAAGGACATGCACCATCATCACAGTGTAAGGACATGCACCATCATCAGGATGTAAGGACGTGTACCATCATCACAGTGTAAGGACGTGTACCATCATCAGGATGTAAAGACATGCACCATCATCACAGTGTAAGGACATGCACCATCATCAGGATGTAAGGACATGCACCATCATCACAGTGTAAGGATGTGTACCATCATCAGGATGTAAGGACATGCACCATCATCACAGTGTAAGGACATGCACCATCATCAGGATGTAAGGACGTGTACCATCATCACAGTGTCAGTACATGCACCATCATCACAGTGTAAGGACATGCACCATCATCACAGTGTAAGGACGTGCACCATTATCAGGATGTAAGGACATGCACCATCATTACAGTGTAAGGACATGTACCATCATCAGGATGTAAGGACATGCACCATCATCACAGTGTAAGGACATGCATCATCATCACAGTGTAAGGACATGTACCATCATCAGGATGTAAGGACATGCACCATCATCACAATGTAAGGACGTGTACCATCATCAGGATGTAAGGACATGCACCATCATCACAGTGTCAGTACATGCACCATCATTACAGTGTAGGGAAGTGTACCATCATCACAAGGTAAGGACATGCACCATCATCACAGTGTAAGGACATGCACCATCATCACAGTGTAAGGACATGTACCATCATCACAGTGTAAGGACATGTACCATCATCACAGTGTAAGGACATGTACCATCATCACAGTGTAAGGACATGTTCCATCATCACAAGGTAAGGACATGCACCATCATCACAGTGTAAGGACATGCACCATCATCACAGTGTAAGGACATGTACCATCATCAGGATGTAAGGACGTGCACCATCACCACAATGTAAGGACGTGTACCATCATCACAAGGTAAGGACGTGTGCCATCATCTCAGTGTAAGGACATGCACCATCATCATAGTGTCAGTACATGCACCATCATTACAGTGTAAGGACTTGCACCATCATCACAGTGTAAGGACATGCACCATCAATACAAATGTAAGGACATGTAGCTTCGTCACATACGTGAAGACATACCATCTTGACAAAACCGAAACCATCGCCTTGCCAGCCGATGGAACAGAATTTGCCATCTTTGGAGACGATAGAAGTTTCCACTGAGTTGCCTGTTGTGTAGTCTCCGGCCGATAGTGGTGAACCCAAGACTCATTCATGGTTACAAATCGCCTAACATGATCAGCTGGGTCTGCTTCAAAACGACGTTAATTACTACGAGAGATGATGAACCCGATGCGTTTCTGATCAGGAGTCAGAGACCTTGGAACCCAGTGTGAATGTTCTCAACTCTGCCGTGTTGACTGTGTGGCGTGTGGTGTTTTGTCGAGCCTACATGATCATATGAAGTATTTTATCAACATGTCCCTTAGTGGCAGCAGTTGAAGTACTTGGATCATCTACGAGACTCTGTTATAGGAATCTGGCATGTCTAAGTATGGAATTTCCGTGATCTCGATCTTTGGAAACGACCTAAGTATGCGTAAAGTGCGATTATGAGATATCGCGAGAACGCGAGAATTGGCAAAAACCTTATAGTTTTAAAATAATAGATGCTAAATCTCGCCCAACATATTGAGTATATGCTACGTATGATTGATTTAGTTCCATTTTCTCTAGGAATCAGATATATATCAGCGGATTCAATGTTAAAGAAATTGTGGAACAGGTGATCAAACAAATTATACAACACGCGCAGCAACTCGTGAAACCTTTTTGAGATGAAACACGCACCTGGCATCCATTTTCTGTCAAGCAGACGATCAAATACATTCATTAATAAATATATGATTCATGTTGTAATATATTCAGTTAGATTATAAAATGAACTGCCTATTATCATGTTTATATGAAAATACCAGGAGTACAATGTAGTTGGAATGGGATGGAAAAGAAGAAAGTTGTGGAAATGTTGCTGATTTTATCTGCATCTCAAAAAACGTATATATTTACAATGTTAATTCTCGTTTTCATATCAAGAACCAGTCACGGTGCGATAAAAATACTTAAAGACGATATATTTGTGAAGGACCTATAATGGGAAATATTTATTAACAAAACGATTTTTTTCCAGATTATTTCACGTTATATTCAGAAAGAAACTTATCACAAAACAATGTGGGATACCAGACATGCACTAAACATTGGTTGGTTTCCTGAAGGTCATTGTGGCCTACACATGATTCTATCCTAGTTGTAGCCGTGTAAATCGCCTCAGATAATGTGTGTACGAGTATCCGTGATTGGGGTTGTAATCTCAAGATCACCTTAAACTGAAACTATGACCTTAAATAATGCCATGGAAAATAGAATCAGTTAAAGGAAAAAGGTAAAACAGTAGGCTGTACCGCACATTTAGCAAAACTGTCACTAGATAGCGTGACTATTGTGTCTCGAAAGTGGCGCGGTAGTAGCGTGATAGTGTCTCGAAAGTGGCGCGATAGTGGCGTGATAGTGTCTCGAAAGTGGAGCGATAATGGCGCGATAGTGTATCGAAAGTGGCGCGATAGTGTCGTGATAGTGTCTCGAAAGTGGCGTGATAGTGTCTCGAAAGTGGAGCGATAATGGCGCGATAGTGTCTCGAAAGTTGCGCGATAGTGGCGTGATAGTGTCTCGAAAGTGGCGCGATAAATCCGCGTTAGTGCCGTAACTAGGGGAAGTTACTTATGCAATGTTGTGTATACTGAGTCCTTGTTATATCCCCTAAATGCCGATCGCCAGACAAGTACCATCTTTAGAAGTCTTGCGACACCCCCCCCCCCCCCCCCCCCGACACACACACACACGCACGCGCGCGCGCGCGCGCGCTCTATCAACTGGACCACGGAAGCAGTCCATACCCAGGAGAACTAATGATGTTTATTTATCTTTTCTGTTTACAACAGCCATTGTGCAGCGTCCGAAGGGACTTCCCGATCATGATCTTAAGGCCGCCTGGGCTGCCTTCAACAATCTGGTATCCACTGGTCATCTTACGATCCATCTGTCTGTACCTGCAGACCCTGACCAGGTAGAGTGTCACCTGTGTTTACCTGTAGACCCTGACCAGGTAGAGTGTTACCTGTGTGTACCCGTAGACCCTGACCAGGTAGAGTGTCACCTGTGTTTACCTGTAGACCCTGATCAGGTAGAGTGTTACCTGTGTTTACCTGTAGACCCTGACCAGGTAGAGTGTTACCTGTGTTTACCTGTAGACCCTGACCAGGTAGAGTGTTACCTGTGTTTACCTGTAGACCCTGACGAGGTAGAGTGTTACCTGTGTTTACCTCTAGACCCTGACCAGGTAGAGTGTTACCTGTGTTTACCTGTAGACCCTAACGAGGTAGAGTGTTACCTGTGTTTACCTGTAGACCCTGACGAGGTAGAGTGTTACCTGTGTTTACCTGTAGACCCTGACCAGGTAGAGTGTTACCTGTGTTTACCTGTAGACCCTGATCAGGTAGAGTGTTACCTGTGTTTACCTGTAGACCCTGATCAGGTAGAATGTTACCTGTGTTTACAGGTAGACCCTGATTACGAATTGTGTTACCTGTCGATAGGGCATATTACTTCTCTGTACCTATCGTGTTTAATTGTTGCTTGTCACGAGACGTAGTTTTTTCTTTCATAGCATGGAGTATCATGTGATAATCCACCCACTTCATTTACAGGGTCTTTCGCTGTTGGCCAGTGATGTGGTCGAGGACGATATATGGAAACACGACTGTCAAGGTTGGTTTTGGCTTTTCATCTATCTGTGACAGACCTACAAAAGACAACCAGCAGAATGCTCCACAACTATGGAATATGTACACGCTGGAAAGTGAAATAACCACACAAATTACAAAGAAAAAACACAATCCCCTTAAAGTTTGTATCACAACATGAACTCAGAGGAACCCATTTTCAGAGGAACGTGACAGAAAATCATACAGACAACAGCAAATGGTTACACGCCGGGTTCTTATCAATAAGCAGCCAACTGTATTAGAAGTGTGTCTTTGTTTTTTATTAATGTGGCTTTTTGTGTACACATAAACCATAGTTTGGTCTCACGCTCTCAGTCACTGGTTTGTCTGGTCCAAATTCAGTAATATCGCACATCAGAAGATGACTTCACACATTCTATTCTCAGACATGACGAGCGAACTCTTCGTTACAAGCAAATATGTTGCATAATTACGTCTATGCGGCGTATGATACATATGACGATTTCTGAAAATGAATCTAAATTCCTCATGTTTCATCATATTGAGTCACACACGTTGAGGAGGCACGGGTGGCCCAGTCGGCCGCAATTCGTATTGCGTTGCGTTTCTTGGTCACCCCAGAAATATAAGGTCGTGGGTTTGCATCCTGGTTCGCCCCGAATATGTTTTTAAATTTGTCAGCACCATACCCGTGCTGGTGGTGGTAAACGTCCAAGACCTGCATCACTTCGGACATTCTGTGGGGCGGTAAATGCGACACGAGGTTGAGTGTAGTCATGTTTTATTCCATCTCAGCGTAGACAATATGGAAAAAAAGCAGGTGACCCACTCAATAGGTGGGACTATCGGTCCGATGTCACATCAGTCACCACTGAAGTTCACTTGCGGTTGGTTATTGTGAAGAAACGTAAATGCACGTGAGCGACTGTTGTCTGCTGCCTGCTTCGATCGTGGCCTCTTGCATGTGTCGTATTTCGTGTCGTATTTCGTGACGTATGTCGCGAAGATAGTTTACAATTAGATATCATTTTATTATAGAAAGATGACTTGACTTAACGTGGAATTATAATTACGAGAAAGTTAAGTGAAAATTACGAAATATAGGAAAGAAATTAATAATCTAAAAGTTACAAACTTCCGGAATTCGACGAAGATTAACGAAGGTTACGTAGCTAATTTGGGTACTTCAAACACTTTTTACATTTCCTCCCACATTAAGTTGATACGCCGTGATATAACTGGAATATCGTTCAAACTCAACTCACTACCTCACTCACACACGGTCATTATATAGTGCAGTTAACACAACACATCCGTTCCTATGTTGTCAGTTGATCAGAACCTTGCTTCAGACATGTCAACGGAGATGCAGTCAGACGCCACACCAGATACAGCGTCATCACCCTTTGTGTCGACACCAGGTGCAGCGTCCACACCCTTTGTGTCGACACCAGGTGCAGCGTCCACACCCTCTGTGTCGACACCAGGTGCAGCATCATCACCAGATGTGTCGACACCAGGTGCAGCGTCGAAAACCCCATCTAACCCACCTGCGTCTATGAGTAAGTCGACGGAATTTACTGTAACCTCAGCTGAAGTTCAACCTTCATTTAATTTTTATCGGCTAGCTTCTACACGGCATCGACTTGCGTCCCTTGGGCAGAAACTTATGATCGATGGTTCGAATCCCTCATTCACCATGATTATGTTGCTAATTCCTATGTTTGTCAGCACCAACCCCTGCTCGTGGGTTTTACCAACGTGGTGAACGACTAAGACATGCAAACCTTTGTGACCCATGAAGATCCGGGGTGTGCTTGTCATAAGTGGCGACTGACGGGATCGGATGGTCAGGCTCGCTGACTTGGTTGATGCATGTCATCGTATTCCAATTGCGTGGATCGATGCTCATGATATCAATCACTGGATTGTCTGGTCCTGACTCGATTATTTACAGACCGCCGTCATACAGCTGGAATATTGCGGAATGCGGCGTTAAACAACAAACAAACAAACAAGCATAACTTTGTACTTTCCTCACCAACCAAGCTGACACGCCTTTATACAACTGTATGAAGCCGCTATAATCTAAACGCACTCACTCACACGAGAGGGTATGTGGGTAAGTGGTTTCAGTTTTTGTTGTTATTTCAAGCACTGCTCTCTTTAATTTCACTTTCACTGTTGATAAAGTGACAGTCGGTTAATTTTCAGTGACAACGAGTTTTCCTTCTGGCGCATCAAGTACAGCTCCATTCACAACAGCTTCATCTCCACTGACGCCGGGAACAGTAACTCCACCGACGCCGGGAACAGTAACTCCAATTCCACACACCACAAGTTAGTGACTGTTGAGTTAGTTCCGTTTTCGGAAAGAGCTAGAGTAGAAACCTAGAAACTCGAAACATTATGTCGCCGCATTTCGAGTGCCTATATGAAATATGAAACTCTACTTTCGAGCGTGACATCGTCTCAAACCATACCTCGACTTAACTAGATGCGAGTTAAGAGAGACTCATTATTATGAAAACATGTGACAAACTATATTATCAAGAATCGACCCGATTCAGAAGAATATTTTAATTATATTTTTTATTGAACAAACTACATATTTTCGGAAACCTTCATTCATGAAATTTAAAGCTAAAATTATTTATTCGGAAGGTTGAAAGACTTATATATTACGGCACCTATATCCCTACCCAGTATGAGCTTCGGGTAGATAAATCGAAGGGAACGGATGGTCCCGTCCACTGAGACGAATTCGAATTGCAGAGTTGCGTCCCTTAGGCGTACCGGGATTCGGACCCAGTCGTCTAAGGCGCCGCAATTCACTGTGCAGAGTTGCGTCCCTGGGTCACGAAACCTATGATCTTGGGTTTGAATCCCGGTTCGCCCCGATTATGTATCTAGGTTTGTCAGCACTATACCCGTGCACGTGGGTTTCACCAAGCTAAACTCCTAAGACCTGGCTTGCTTCCCACATCAAGCTGACAGGCCGTGATATAACTGGAATACTGTTAAACCCAACGAACTCACTTACTCCTAAGGCATGTCGGAAATCTCAATCTCAAAAATATCAGATCTTAGCTGTCGCTACCGCCAAACAAAGATCTTAGGACACCCCATTAGGGGTCACGACCTTTAATCTGACCATCGACTGCCTCCTTGGTCTAGTGGTAGAGCATCCGCCAGGAGAGAGAAAGGTCCATACCAAAATACGTTAAAATATGGTACTTGTTGTTACCCTGCCTGGCGCTCGGCATTAAAGGGATAAAACAAGGACTGGTCGGCTCGGAGTCAGTATACTGTGTCTGAGTGGGGTATTCATGTTAAACTGCGGCATGGTATCTCAGTGGTCTAGCACTATAAATCTGCATCAGTCCGGACCAGTACAAGCGGCCACATACACACACGTGCATGCACGTCGCTACATAAGTGCAATAATCTTGGACGCGACGTTAAACCCCATTTAACCTCACCTCATCCGACAATCAGGAAAGTGACAGTCGGAATGTGTTTTCTTACCGTGCAACCTCGAAAAGGTTAACACAATGTATTCCGAACTACTGTAACGGACTGTATGACTGATTCTGTCAAAATCATCGTCAAACCCTCGCTTTAGCCGGATAAACATTTGAACGGAAGAGGCGTTGCATAGCCCGTGGGAAGTACTGTCATACAATCTCGACCATATATTAGACATTCCAGAATGTTCTTTTGATCGTTTTTTAAGTTTTGAATCGGGTACTTTGTCAACAATACTTTTCAAGCGTCGTCTGGAATGAAAGTCGCCAGTTTGAAACTTGTGCCGTACAGCTCGAGAAAGCTGCTTTATGATTGGCTAATGTCGACTTCTTGTTTGTCATTTCATTGGTCGGTCCAAGTTCGCGAAAGGTCGTTTTGACATGACCGGTAATTGCATGTCCTCAGATCTTTATTTAGCGGAAGCGACAACTAAGATCTGATTTCAATGAGATTGCAGAAACCTTTGATCATTGGTTCCAATCCGGGTTCGCCATGATTCTATTTCTGTCAGCACCATACCGTACTCGTGGGTTTCACCAATGTGGTAAACATCTAAGACCTGCATCACTTAGGCTTTCTGCATCGTGAAATAGCTGCACTATTGTAGCGCGTTAAACCCAACTGACTCACTCACTTGTCTTATCAGCCGGAAACAAGAACTTCATCATTTACAAGAAAGATGCCTTCTTCTCCGACGTTGACCATGCTGAGATTGCCAACAGCGTGGAGGAGTGTCTGGCCGACTGTCTTCAGGACAAGGGATGTCAGACAATCACTATCTGTCTTCACAAGAAGAAGTGTAGTCTCAGTAAAGTGTCTCCCGCCACGCACGGGAGTCTCGTGAAGCCTCAATCAGGGTGTACTATATATTCACGTGAGTGAAACACAGAGCGCCGTTGTATCGCCGAGTACGCAAGTTTCGAATGACACCTATTTTCGAACAGCCATATTGAAAGTGATTTTGTCGCGTTATAACGAGAGGTGGGACGACAAGGCTGTTGCCTTGAGAGTGCACACGTTCGGCCTGTCAACGTTGGGTTCATGTAAAGTGCTTGTACACCTGTCAGAACGGTCCATCGTCATCCAGAATTTTGATGCCCGTGCCATGATGAAACGTGTGAACATTCTCATGACAAATAGTCATATTTTGTGACTAGTTTTAAAACGTTCAAACTGTTTGAGTTTTAATGCCAACCTGCAAGAAATATGATGAGAACTGTGCGCCAAAACACGTCTGTTCATTTATGGAATCCCGCTTAAGTACCTAACCAATCAGGTGTCCGAAAATAGGTGACGTCATTCGAATGCAGCGGAAGTTTACAGACCTTGCAAATGAGGTCACGCCTTTTATTGAGGATTGTTTTTCGTTCGGAATGGAGCTGAATTCCAATTTTGAAGACATCACCTACTGGTGTAAAGCAGATTTTGAGTTTTGATTCACTCATTCCTCGAAATATCAACAATGCCATCTTAACTGTTCGAAAATAGGTACGTCAGGATATTTAGCATTTTCATTCAAAAGATCAACGTCTTATGGGTTATGGTGCCACTATTCGCTGAGTTGCATCCCTGTAAGTTGCAGATGTTCCTGTAACATATATGTCCTTTGGTTCCTAGACTCTCATTGATTAGGTTTCATTGTTTGTCTGCAGCATATGTAACTGTGTTCGTGGGTTTCATCGATATGGTAAACGTCCAATACTGCGCCTTCCTCACATTAAGCCGACATTCCGTGATGTAACTGACATGCTGTTCAAAGGTGTTAAACCCCAAATCAGTCACACACCCTTTACATAAAAGAAGAGAATATCTGCTGTCAGTGCGAACGTCTCCGGGTCTTGTTGATAGAGTGTTTAATTTGTGTTGAGAGCGGAAGGTCGATGGTTAGATATCCCGACATTATACTGGCAATTATGACAATTACTGGTCTGCTCGGAGTGAGTATTATGCATCTTTCTGATGCAAGGGAGTTAACTAACTAAAAAAGTCTAGTTTCCAACCGTGCCGAACTAGACTGGAATTTCGTGGCTCGGCATTAGTCCGGACTAGTACAAGCACACACACACACACACACACACACACACACACACACACCACAAACACACCACAAACAAACACACCTCAAACACACACACACACACACCACACACCACACACCACACACACACCACAAACACGCACACACACCACAAAAAAACACACCAAAAATACCACAAACACACACACGCACACACACCACAAACTCACCACAAACACACCACAAACACACCACACACACACACCACAAACACACACACACCACACACACATCACATGCACACACACCACAAACACACACACACCAAAAACACACAAACACACACACACACACCACAAGCCCACACACCACAAACACCACACACACACACGCACACACACCAAAAACACACACACACCACAAACACACACACTCACCACAAACACACTTACATGCATATCGCTATATAAATACACATCTAAATCAGTGCATTCTATCGCCTCGGTCTATAAATAAAGTATTGTAATAATGTCTAAATAATCTACTGATTGGTAGCTTGATCATCAATTAAGGCTGCAAAAGTACGGCAGGCCACATTAAAAACACCGGATCTTCAGGTCGCAATTTCAAAGTGAAGTTAACCAATTTTGGAGAGGAGTTAGATAAGTGACCGCGTTTGACAGTTGACTCCTGGGAGGTTCTGGGGCTTTTGGCCTCCCCAACACTGAAGCTCAAGAAGTGTCCGCATCTGATCACCCGGCAGTGAATGGGTACCCGGTAATGGTAATGTAACTATTAACCGTTTAGGGCCTCACAGTAAGCTTTGGTCGTATTCTCCCAAGGGAGACGAGAGTATAAATCGAGGGCACACTGATCCATTGACCGAGATAATAATGTGGCACTTTGAGCATGGACTTGGCGCATCATAAACACATTCATAAACACAGTATTACGTCAAACATGGATACCTCAGATCTGCTCTGTCTGCTTCTCCAATGAGGTTATGATGTAATTTGTAATACCTGTTAAATGAAACAGTCGAATGCCCGTATGTGTTTACCTGGTCAAATATGTGTTTACCAAATAACGGTGATAATTATGATATTGCTTGCCCACTAGGAAGATATTCCTGTTCTGTTAAACAGGCTATTTGTACCACCCCAGGGGCATGCGCTGTCAAAGTGACCATTAAAGTTTATAGACTGCACTAATCTACTGCTCAATATATTTCAGTGTCATCAAATCTCCCTACCAACGTGTCACCGACAGTAACAACCACTCCTGTGCGTCCGACAACATCACCGACAGGTGGGAATTACCTCGTCATACACATCGTCTTTCACTGAATTAAAGATGTCAGCTTCACGGATATGAATAGGATTGGGACAAATCGTTAACCTCAATCCCCTGACCTACGTGTAACAATAAGTATATTTAAAATCTGGATAATCACATCTTCCCGAGGCAAGGGAGTAAATTGACTATGAAAGCCAAGTTTCGACCCTCACCGAACTAGGCTCGAATTTCCGATGTCTTTGCGGGACTAACGAGTCTGTGAATAGTCCAATCATTATCGCGTAACGATAACGTACACGGCATGGCGAGCGCCGTGCAGGTTTCAGTCGACAGCAGGATTTACAAAGCATGTTTTTCGTCAACTGTGCATCGAGAGATTTTCCAATTTTTTCAGGGTTTTTTTAATCAAAATGCTCAAGTGTTATGCTACAACCCACATGCACTTGGTGTCTGAGACAGGGAATGTAAACACATTATTTGATTAACTTCATCAGATCATCTTGACTGGGCGCCGCCATTTGGGATAAGCAAATGCATGTGATATGGGACGTTCAATCTGATTGGTCAATATGAGGGACATAGAAGGGACATATCTCGTAATAGCAACTGACGGCGTTACCGTCGAGCCACGAAATTCCAGCCCTTTTATAGTCAGTTAACTCCCTTTCATCGGGAGGATGGCTAATAAAGGATGACACAACTTCAAATCAGCCACATGACAAATTGCAAACTGCCTCTCCTTGCAAATGTTATTCCCTGATTAGGCAACCAAAGTATCAAGAAGCACTTACCCTTACATCAGTGTAAGATATATGTCAAACTGTGAGCTTTGTTTTCTCGGCGAGATACCAGTTCTTTCGATACACCAGTTTTGGGGATGGTACTTTTGTAGCAGGTTTCTTTATTGACGTTTTTGCGAAGTGTCAGAAGTACTTTTTTGTAGCCACACCCATGTTTTATCCAGGTATAGCGGTCAGTGGGTATACTCTGATCGCGGCGTCCACAGTGCCAGGAATCGCCACGGCAGCCTTGGAGCTGATTCCAACCGTCCAGGCCTGTGGTAAGGCGTGCACCAGCAAGGCGGACTTCCACTGCACCGCCTTCCAATATTGTCCCTCTAACAAGATTTGTAACCTCATGGACACCAGGCAGCTGCCTTTACCGCTGACCTTGAAGATCAAGACAACTTGTCCGTATTATTCTAGTGAGTGGATGTCTTTGTTTTAGATATAGATCAATTAGTTTCATATTTACATCAATTATTGCCACATTTACAAATACTTTTATATTTAGATAAACTTTTGTCATATTTACAATAATTATTTTCATATTTAGATCAATTATTGTCTTATTTAGATCAATTATTGTCTTATTTAGATCAATTATTGTCTTATTTAGATCAATTATTTTTATATTTAGATCAATCATTTTCATATTTAGATCAATTATTTAATTTAATTATTAAGTTAATATCAATCAATTATTATCCCCCGAGACAAGTGTGTTCTGTCTATCAATTCACGTCATGATTGACCAACAACTGACCAAATCAGACATAACACTCTCTTTTACACATTTATCTGCTGCAAAGAAATAGTATACTACTGTGAGTTAAGTAGATATGTCATACATTAAAGGTGGCATGTCATGGTCAAATAACAGGTGGTTTCTACAGTGAAATACTGTAAATCTCATCCTCGACAATCCAGGGTATTATATCTCTATTTGGTTTATAAATACCCTGGTCCCTATCGCTATCTTCGCCAAGGCTCGGGGCTTGGTAATCTGTAATTCTCCGTAGGTGTAGGTGTTTGTGTTTGTTTAGCCATTTGTGCGAGTGGTGTATGCATGTGTCTGTGGGTGCATGTGCGTGTGTGTTTGTGTGTTTATTTTTGTATAAATGTGCGTTTATTTGTGTGTGTTTATTTTTGTATATATGTGTGTGCATGTTTGTGTGCTGTTCATTGTGTATGTGTGTTTGTGTGTGTGTTTATTTTTGTGTATGTGTGGGTTTGTATGTGCGTGTGTAAGTAGTGTATGCGTGTGTCTGTCTGTATGCGCATGTGAGTGTGTGTGTGAATGTGTGTGCGTGTGTCATATATGAAACTTATCTTCTCCATTCCACACAGGGCAATTTCTGGATGACTTCACCCTGCAAACGGTTCAACCAGCCCCAAACAGTAATTTCAAGCCGTTAGATGGCGTCAGTCTTCAGACATGCGCAGACATGTGTGGACACGAGGGAGCCTCGTGTATTTCCTTCCAATACTGCCAAAATACCAAGGATTGTCTGATTGGTACAACGCAAAAGACCAAAGTATCAAGCAACCAACCGAAATCTAGCTGCCAGTACTACAAACGTAAGATTTCAATTGTTTTAAAAACTAGTGTACTTCCAGTATGAGAGAATACAGTAAACTACGGTTATAACGAACTCAACGGGACCACTAATTTTACTTCGTTATAACCGTAGTTCGTTATAATCATATATACAGCAGAACTACAGCAAATAGTTGTGACAAAAAAGTAAGTTCGTTATATCTGTCAGTTCGTTATTAGCTTGAATATTGCTAAAAGCGGCGTAAAACCACACTCACTTACTTACTCAAATGAGAACGTCATTCTTGATGTCCCCGACGTCATATGGTTGAAATATTTCTCAACGTTGAAAACCCTATTCAGCAACTAAGTTAAACAAACACATTATATATATTGATAGTATGGTATACTTACTCCACAATGAAGTGTGCCATCAGATCGCCGACGCAGTCCATCAGTGCCGAACAGTTTCAGCGGTTATTGTTTCCGGCTACCGATATCCGGGTTGCAATAGGTCTTCAGCAACCCGCGCTTGCCGTAAACGGCTACTATGCTTGTCGTAAAAGGCGACTAACGGGATCGGGTGGTCGGGCTCGCTGTCCTGGTTGATGCGTGTCATCGTATCCCAAATGCGTAGATCGATGCTCATATCAATCACTGGATCGTCTGGTCAAGACTCGACTATTTACAGACCGCTTGCATATAGCTGGCATATTGCTGATTGGGCTTTAAACAACACACAAAAACAACATGCATGTATATCCATCACATATTACAGGAAAACAATATCACGTTGGAGATATTTTTAAGAAGCACACTCACTCACTCACTCACTCACTCACTCACTCATCGATCACTCACTCACTCACTCACTCATATGGTACATATTTAGAAAGGAGGTTCACTCTATTTACAGTCTGGAACTTTTTCGCTTTTCCTATTTGCGAAAATTGGTGTTAGTCCGGATGTCCTTGGACAAAATATTTATTCGCAATTTTCGAATGTCAGTAGTTGTAGCATATTGAGCGATAAGCACCACGTGTTAGGTTGATTTGGTGCTGATAATCATTTACTCTCATATATGGTGATGCAAACAAGTGGGCCCACATGTGTATATCGCCAAGCTTCATTACATTGGCTCTGCTGTAGTCTATACATGTTTGTACACTCTAATCCACATGTCAGAAAACTGACTTTATATTGACAAAAATAGTTGTTCTTAATATGGTCTTTTGGACACATTCTCTACACCAAGTGCGCTTAGTTTGAATGGGGGACACCTTCTACTTTCGATTAGGCAAGCAGAGTGAGCTCGAATCACCGATATTGCGGTTCAGCCACTCATTGTGATCAAACCACCATGCATATTTTTCCCTTCACCTTTAGTTTGGTAGTCATATATTCTTAAGACAGGTGTAATCACATTATTGTTGTTTCCACGACAGGGCCATTACCCAAATCCAGTGGCCAGCCTCCTGGAACTCAGATGCCAGAGACAGGGTACAGCGAAGGTGCGTCACGAACACACCAAGGGCAGCTTTGGCAGTGTTCATAAAAAAACTCTTTCGTAGTTGCCGTAGTTCACGTAGTTGAACCCGTGAAGATTCGGGCTAGAATACGTCTTCAGCACCATGCTTGCCGTAATGGGCGACTATGCTTGTCGTAAGAGGCGACTATGTTCGTCGTAAGAGGCGACTAACGGCATCGGGGGGTCAGGCTCGCAGACTTGGTTGATGCATGTCATCGTATCCCAAATGGGCAGATCGATGCTCATATCAATCACTGGATCGTCTGGTCCAGACTCGACTATTTACAGACCGCCGTCATTTTGCTGGAATATTGCTGCGTGTGGCGTTAAACAACAAACAAGACAAAACAAAAAGTTCACATAGTTGTCTTAGTTCACGTAGTTCACGTTTGAGATCATGGTCATACGTCCACACAGTCGCAAATGACGCTTGCTGAGGATTCATACAAAGCACTGGCACTGTCAAAATGTTGTTAAACGCCGCAGTATTTGAACTATGACACGGCGGCATGGAAATAATCGAGTCTGGACCAGACAATCTACTAATACCTCACAACAATTATTTTACTAACACAATCCTGCCTCATTACCAAATGGGTCACGGATGGCAAAGGCGTCGAAGGAGCCGCAATTCGCAAGTTGCGCCCCTTGGGCGTGCCAGAAATGTGGCAGTGGGTTCGAATCTCAGATTCGCCCTGTTTATGTTCTGTTCGTTACCTCCACCCGTGCTCGTGGGTTTCACTAAAGTGGTAAACGTCTGAGACCTGCATCACTTCAGGCTTTCCTCCCACATCAAGCTGACACGACGTGATATAACTGAAATATGTTCAAAGCGGCGTTAAAACTTACTCACCACCCACTCAACGTATCGACAAAACTGTAAACAGATGAATTTGTATGTACAAAATATATATATAATTTTATAGTAGACAACCAACCAGCTGTGCATACTGTGTTTACTCCACCTGATCAGTTTCCAAACATTCAACACTGGTTTGGTGAATATTATTTTGTTCTATTTTTACCAGGTACCCTTGCTGGGTTATCCGTTGCCATGTTGATCGTCGGTGCCCTGATAGGAACAGCAGTCCTTTTCCTGATTCAGCGACAACGTAAACGCAAGAGTTTTGATGTTAATATGCACATTATGGAATCCGAATAAGTACTCCACAGAGAACCACCTCAGTAAATCATCCCGAGAAAAGGGAGTTAATTGACCGTAAAAATCCTAACACCACACCACCATCAGTTTCCACTCTTGCTGAATTAGGCTGGAGTGTCGTGGCTCTATTGTAGCGCCACCAGTAGCCATTACAAGTTATTGCCCTTTGTATGTCCCTTCTATGACCAATCAGATTCCACCTGTCGTATCACTTGCATTGCTTCATACAAAATGGCGGCGCTAAGTCAGGACGATCTGATTGATAATGAGACTTTTTATTGTGACAAAACGGGTCTTACCACGCAAGGTTCATCAACCCATTTGAGCATCAAACATGAACAGATTTTGAAAATGTCTGTCGACGCCCAGTCTATACACATGTTTTACAAATCCTGCAATCGACCGAAATCTGCACGGCAGTCGCCATGTTTTGATGAACCGGATGTCGATTTTGATTGGACTATGCATAGACTCGTTAGTCCAGCCAAAGTAGAACTCCATTATTCCAGCCTTGGTAGGCAAGGTTGGAAAATGGACTTATATAGTCAGTTAACTCCCTTGCCTCGGGAAGATGAACTAAGTACTGCCGCTAGCTAGGTGTCTGTTCACAATAGAAAGCATTGACAAGACTAACTAATTTCAAGATACAACATTATCGCCGCGTGGAGCTCAAAGGATGTATTTGAGTTTTCATTCCTGTCGGGTGGAAGAACATATACCTCTGTAACTAACCGCATCTGTTCATGACCCCTCTGGGGACCAGGATGTGCCGGTCGTCTGAGGCGTCGTGCTCGAAATCTATAATCTTGGGTTTTCAAATCCAAAATTCCTGCTGATTATGTTTCTAGGTTTGTCAGCACCATACCCGTGATCGTGGGTTTCACCAAATTGGTAAACACTGATACCTGCATCACTTAAGCTGACACGCCGCGTTATGACCGTAATACTGTTTCAATCCACGGAAGGAAAATGGATTGAGACAGGCGTTGACGAAGGGGTACTTGAGTTCTTATTTGCAAGATAGCTTTTCTATCCGAACAAATAAGGTTGTGCACGCCAGAAACTTGTGATTGTGGGTTCAAGTCCCGGTTCGCCCAACAGCACCATTCCCGTGCTCGTGGGTTTCCCCAACGTGGTAAACGTCTGAGACCTACATCACTTCAGGCATTTCTCCCACAATGAATTAAGCTGACACGCCGTGATATAACTGCAATACTGTTGAAAGTAACGTTAAATCCAACTCTGCAGAGTTGCGTCCCTTGGGCACGCCAGAAACCTATGATCCTGGGTTCGAATCCCGTTTCGTACCGATTATGTTTCTAGATTTGTCAGCACCATACCCGTGCTCTTGGGTTTCACCGAAGTGGAAAACGTCTGAGACCTGCATCACTTCGGGCTTTCCTCCCATATTAAGCTGACACGCCGTGATATAACTGGAATACTGTTAAAAGCGGCGTTAAACCCAACTCACTCACTCATGTGTTGCTGTGTTAACTGTACATCTTTTGCTTAGACAGATACATAAAATGTTCAAAAGCAAACATATGTTCTTGTCGCCTGCAAGGACCCATGAAGTATCTTATTTAGCGAGAAGTTCACCACAGGTCGGGGAGTTTTTTTTATAATACATGTCTTTTAATATCATACATATGCTCTATTCTTTTTAGGCTCAACGCTAAGGGTGGTTAACTAATGTATTTCAACAAAACGTCCATATCCTCAAGTTCCTTTAGTATATATCTGGCATTTAACCTGCATAGATTATAAATAAATACTTTTTGTACATTATGTCCTAGAACGATAGTGTAGCTTTCACATGCAGTACACAAGAGAGCACTTCAAAGCATCCACTTTTAGTCAATACAAAACTAATAAAGCAAACATATTGTTTACCATTCGTGGTCCATTGACAACGTCCGGTTTTGTGTGTATTTTTTATATAACTCAGGAAACTATTTTATTCATACATTTCTTAATTGGTTTCATATTAGAAAGTGTTGCGGACAAATCGGTAAAGCTATATCTGTCCCAGTTATGTTTTGATTTTACCTTCCAATGTTTGAATATTGATTTGATATTATGCACAATTATAATATGTACTGAATAAAGCATGGGACAGATGTTTGTGTGTTTGTTTGTTGTTTAACGCCGCACTCAGCAATATTCCAGCTTTATGACGACGGTATGTAAACAATCGAGTCTGGTCCAGGCAATCGAGTGATTCACATCATGAGCGTCAATCCACGAAATTGAGATACGATGACATGCATCAACCAAGTCGGCGAGCCTGACCACCCGATCCCGTTATCCGCCTCTTTCGACAAGCAGGGGCTTCTGAAGATCAATTCTAACCCGGATCTTCACGGGTTTCAGTCAGTAAAGACAATATTTTAAATCAACCACCCTGGCCATTGTAGGATATATTTTTGTGGGTAAAACTGAGGACAAATAAATTTGTTTAGCATTTTCAGGAACAGATAATGTCTATCTTAATAATTATAACAGCCCCATTATTCCCTCCGTAATATCAAATGGCCTGCTCGAAATCAGCTGATAGGATCATAAACATGCTTGTTACTCGAATATGTAGTGGTAGAAACGTATGCACACAAGTTGCCGTTCAGGGGCCAAGGGATACCAGTCAGGACAGCTAGTTTTACTCTTAACCAAGGATTGTATCCGTGTATATGGCCTTCGTTGTTAACACATGAGATCTCTATTTTGTGGCCTGACTACCTTACGCTTGTTGTGTAAATTATAGTGACTTGGCCGTCCTACTTCATAAGATAACCATATTTAAACAAAAACAAGTTTCTCGTCATACTGAGGTCAGTAAGTCCATAGTTTGGATATCACCTCCTGCACACGTCTCACATTGATATGAAGGTTACATAATGTCCTGACCTCCATGTGTTGCACCTTACATAAAACGACCGCTTCACTTCATATTGATAAAAGTCACAGACTTTTGTATTGCTATCTAAAGGTCCCGAATAAACCCTGTGGATCCGAGGTCTGCATTTAGACTTACAAATGTTTGGAGGATGGGTGTGGGAAGGTATGTGTGCAAGGTGTGCAAGAAGTGTAGAAAATACACATGCAAAGGCAAGTCAAGTGTCCACCTGAAAAAAACACAGCGAACATATGTACAATATAAAATAAGGAATTGCATCGGACATCATTCTTGTCACTGATGTGTCAAGTTTTTCAATGTCCTCCACACGTCTACCGTATTATTTGGGGTGGGGTGGGGTGGGGAAAGCTTTACTGAGGTCTTGAATGTTGTAAACTTGATCAAACAACTTCTGAGCAAGAATCGTATGACGCTCTTTCAAATCTGAGTAGAATGAGCATGCTCGCTTGTACAATAAATGGACGTAGACTTACAAAACTTTAGAATAAAAGCGACCTGTCAAAGATGACGCCTACTGAGATATTAATACATTTATGATTATTTGCGTGTATAAGGTTTATACATATTTCCTCATAATGAAAGGTTTCTTTTCCAGAGTTTTCGTTTCTCGCTTTTATTCATTAGTGTATTGATTAAAGTGATCTCTCCTTTGGGTAAGAACTTTGGTTCAAGGATAATCAGAATACGCCAACTGAATTTACTAATGGAGATAGAACAGTATGGATCTGAAAACAAAATGTCCTAACTTCTTTGGTACTCTTACATAAAGAGTACCTTTTGAGAAGATAGATAATTCCTTTTGCTTTAAAAAACGTATCAATTATTTGTATTTGTTTCATGTGAAATAAAAGCATATTGTTTTTTAACATATAATTTACTCACAACTTGTAAAAGTGAAGATAGGACATTATGGTTCTCAGGCGACGTCGTGTATCCTATTTGCGTTATAGAGGTGCTCTCTAATGCCGGAAATTCTTGATATTTACCAAGTTTTAATTTTTTATTTTTGAGAACATTAATTTTGTGCAGGGTAATGTTCACGTTTAAGTTTCATTTTTGTAACCATTTTTCTCTAATTGTAAGAGAAGAGGTATATGAGCGCATGTCTTTAGTGAAATTGTTCCATATTTGGATATTTACAATGACATGATGAAGATATCTATTTCTTAAAGGATCCAATTTAAGGCATTCTAATATTTAATCAAATTCATCACCAACATTACTTTTACAAAGTGGGCAAAGGCTATCTTCCTTATTGATATCATTCTATCTACCAGTTTCAATTGGGAATCGGTGGTTTGAGGTTCTCATTTTTATTTTAAATTAAAATTCAGAAGTACGTAGAGTAATTAATCTTCTATTGAGAGGATATCTTTATACAAATTATTGTAAGGTCCTACTGATGAATTAACTTTACTTCTCCTCCAACTTTGTAAGATTACATCAATAAGGACGGTTTTGATGTTAGCCTTTATCCATTGTAATTCTGACATTCATAGGCCAGCCAAACGTGATTCAGACGTGTACAACGTGAAATACCTTGAATTTCAAGAATTACAAAAGCACTAAGTGGGAAATATGGAGTTTATACATCGTGTTTTACATTATTCACCCCCCCCCCCCCCCCCCCCCCCCTCCCTACCCCATGGTCTTTTTTTCTGAGAAAATGTAGAAAAATGGAATCATTTAGGTTACTCTATTGTTAGAGCGACGTCACGTACAACCGTCACGTTGCTATGTGACTCCTCTGCCCGCTGCATTTTCGTTCCGACGATAAATACTTAATTTATAATTAAGTTAATTTATAATTAAAATTTGTAATTAAAAGTTTTCTTATCTCATTTCCCCCGCCCCAAATTGATAAAGACCCCTACAATTGCACCCTAAAATACCCTAGGTCAGATGATCTTTCGTCAACCATAATACATGTCTTGAATTAATGTAAGGACACTTACCATGAGTTCTAAACTTTAAAATTTCATTAAATAAGAACACAATTAGTCATGTAGTGAGAAACATTCTTTCTTAACATTTTAAAAATGTCGTCTGTTCCCTTTCTTGCTGGATGAGGTTTGAGATTGGAAACACATAACAAATATGGACGACCTTATACGCTTAAACTCTGGGATCCCGAAATGATCCAGCGATTGTGAACGTATACAAGATATACAATATAACCTAAGGACGACGAGGAATTACAAATTATTTGTGATGAGTTAAATCAATTAAGTTTGTAAGTCCCGAGCTTTGGTCGTCGTCTTTATTGCTGAGAAAATGAGGAAAAATGGAATCAGTTGGGTTACTCTATTGATGGAGCGACGTCACGTACAACCGTCATGACGTCACGTTGCTATGTGACTCCCCACACACACAGTGAACACTTAATTGATACAATGCTCAGTGAGAATTACTGAAAATAAGAAGCAGAACGGAACATTGTATGCATACTGTAACACGCCGGTAGCGTATCAAGGGAGGCAACTCTTGTACCCTTAATCGTATAAATACGCTTCACATGTATTGCACAAGACTGTCAGTGGATTTCTTTAACAGAAGGTACTTTGCGTCATACAAAGATCGCTTGAATAAAATGTTGCATTATAAAGTTCAGATATCGGCCGGTTAGCTCAAATGGATAGAGCGATGCTCTTCTAAAGCAAGGGTTGTGGGTTCAAGTCCCACACTGGCTACACATTTTTCTAATTACGAGAAGAGATAAAAAATGTACAAGAGAATATGTGACATTAAGTTTATAACGTTTATTATTATTATTATTTATAAAAAAATATGTATTATTATTATTATTATTATTATTATTATTATTGCTGGTGGTAGTAGTAGTTGTAGTTGTAATGGTAGTCTCACATGGATTAAATCAATGTGCGGAGGGAGGGTCCTACAAAAGAAAAAGCTAAAGTTATTAAAATACCAGTCACCCGAACCAATACCCCAAACCCCCTCCCAGGATTTTGATGTCCGTCACTTACTAGCAGGAAATATAAGAGACAAGGGTCATTAACCGATTGTATTGTAGTGAGTCACGTTGCTATGTCAATCTTCGCAAACAATGAAAACAATGGGACAATTGTGACAATTGTTATAATGCTCAGGATATAATGGAATTACTGAAAATAATTCACTTATGTCCGTGCCCTTATAGGTGATATAAACTTCACACGTAAAAGAAGTATACAATAAAGATTGAAAATTGGATTTGACTAAAAAATTACAAACGTTACTTGTCTGAAAACAGTTGC